GATGCGGGATGGATAAGTCATAATTCTTACATCCATGTTTTTGTTTGTTGCGTGTGAATGCCGGCCGCATCGTGCAACTACCTTCATCGGAACTAATTGCAGATAAATTCATCTTAAAACGTATGATTTTAATTTTTTGTCTACCTACATTATTTTTCTTAATACGCAGTGAATGGTGATGGTTGTATAGATTTTAGTGCGCTTTACTATTAAGTTTTGAAGTAAGATCTTAAATTTTCTCTGTAAGTGAATTTATATTTTTAAGAGAAATAAATATTCTTTAACCACAATATTCGGGAAGTTCTTCACTATTTTTGAGAACAAACTGAAAACTTGTTGTTTTCTGTTACTACGAACAAATATCTGAATCGAAATACAGGACAATGTTATAAACATAACCTATATCAACTTTCTACAGGCTGTACTAAATTAGCTTTTTTGATGCTTTGATAATGAATCACAGGTATTGATAGGTCTCCTTAATGCACGTCGTCAAAAACACTGGGTCACAAAATGCACGGGATGTCGCCATCCTTCTTTATTACGTTTTGTAAAAAGTCATGGAACAAAATGGTTGTTGTTATTAATCAACTTCAAGAAAGGAGAATGTCTCAATTCGATTGTATTTTTTTATGTATGTTACGCGTTAACTCTAATCATTTTTGTACCGATTTTGCTGATACTTTTTTGTTGGAAAGAGGGTACCTCAGTATTGCACACGTTAAATTTTAATGTTAAGAAAATTTTCCACCTCTAAGGGTGGCAAACTAGGGAATGAATCCGGTAGAGCACCTTGGGAAAAAAATCGTCTAGGTAAGTACTGCCAGATTACCTATTTCTGCCGCCAAGCAGTAATGTTAGCATTTCTGCGTTCCGGTTTTGAAGGGTAGGTGTGCTGGTGAAATTACAGGCACCCGAAACAAAAACACAAACAAATACAAAATTAAAATGTTTATACAAAAATTAAATTAAATTAAAACAGGAATTATTCACATAAATATTGAAAAGAACGCGAAATATTGAGATACTTTATATAATAAAAGGTTCACAAACTCAGTATTTGCTGGAAAACGCAATGCTTTCCCAGCGCTGATTTTCAGTTAGGACCCTAAGTGAGGTCACGGAACAACATACGCAAGCATACTTAGGTATTTGAATATAACAATAAAATAATTGTATATATGTACATATTAAACTGTAACAGATGTGTGTGTATAGGTGCGTGTGTTGTGTATGTTTAAAGACTTCCAAACAATGTATGTATACAAGTATGAAAATGAAAATACGTTATAATAATTAATACATATACACCATTGACTTACAAATAAATGGACGACGGGTCTAATACAAAAACCACGAAAAAAATGTCCCAAGTCATCCTATTCGAAATTTAAATTGTAATGTCATCGCAGTATCGCGCTGTCAGTAGAACAAATGAAGACTAAAGCGGAGTGTGGCGCTCTGTATACGATTTTAGCGCCCTATAAGTGCGGACACTTTTTAGCGCGGACTCGACGTCCATATAATTGTAAGTCAATGATATACACTATAACTAATACACTATACCTGCATCATGCAACTAATATATTATATAACAAATGTTTATAACATAATAATATATTATATATATATATATATATATAATATAAATTTTGCAGTCTGATTTCACATCACAATTCCTTCATATTTACACACTCGTTTTAACCTATTCTTAAAGAAATGCATCCAAATTAACACTCTTGATAAGACATTTATACTTTATACGAATTTGAGAAAGCAAGTCATCGATTTGTGTTACACGGCTGATGGTTTATTACTATGTAAGGAGGTTCTTCTAAGGCGTCCATAACAGTCAAAAAGAAAACCTATACTGTTGTCTTAAAAAAATCTTATTATCATTTACTTTAGTATATAATTAATTTAATAATATCATATCTAAACCTGTAATTATGTTAACAACATAACGAACTCAGTCTTATCCTGTTCATTTTGACATGAACAACACTTATCGAAAATACGCTCAATTTTCACGCCTATATTATTATTAGTTTAAATTACGTATAATATATTACATGGATCAACACTAATTGAAATCATTTCATAAAGAGTGTTACCAAAATGAACTTGTTTAACTTTATACTATTTCTGTGTGGTTTCTTAATTTCTCATGTTAATGCGGTAAAATATGACTATGACGACAATGATGATTATATTGGGAATCCTGGTAAGTGCTAATTGGTATACATTTTAACCGACTTTAAAAAAAAGATTAGTTTCTCAATTCGATTGCATTTTTTTGTATGTTACGCATTATACATACGACATTTTGCTTTGGGGCAATGCCGCCGATATTAATAGAATCTTTGTTCTGTAGAAACGTGCAGTTAGGGCAATTTACAATCTGGACCCCAATGTATCTTTGAGTGATAAGTTTAATTACATTCTTACACTAACGTCACAGCGTAAATGTACTGACATTTATGAAAATGTTGTGTTGTTAAAAAATAGTGACAGACATAATATTAATACGAGGAATAAAAATAAACTAGATGTTTAAAATTTTTCTTGAATTGATATTTAATTTTTTTTTGTGAAATTACTCCACTTGTTTGTTATAATTATTAATACAAAGATCGAACACTCAGAAAAAATCCTTCGATCCAGCCGGATTCGAACTGACGTCTTCTAGCTTACCGTGCCCGACGTTATACAAACTAAGCCAAGGAACGAACCAGCGGACCTCACGAATTTTTCTATGTGCTTACGTCGTATCTTTGTATTCGGTTTTTTCAACGACATTTTAATCGCAGGAACTAGATGTTCCTGACAATCGTTTTCATAAAGTCTCAAATTCATTTAAGGGGAAATGTATAGTACGCTTCTATAATAAGATTCCGATTGATATTCAACATTTGCCATTTACGAGGTTTAAAACTATTGCGAAACAAAAATTTTATACTAAAGGTTTTTAAACAACTTCTGCGTACTTGGATGACAAAAATCCGTGGTGGTGACCCGTTTAGCTCGTTCAGGTATTCTCGATCTGAGATGTTTAAATTTAAATGATAAATGTATTCAAATGTTTATTTACAAATAGTAACCCCTAGAGTTTGTTGCTCATTCTTCTCAGAGGAATCTGCCTTACGAATGAACAGTAGAGTTTAATCAGAATGACGATTTTAAGAGGGAGCATGCCAAAAAAATTTTGACGTAAGCTCCGCCCAAATTTGTGAAACAAATATATGCCTGAAGTTCGCGTGACATGCGACAGGAGATGTTGAATTTTGCGCATTAAAAGTACCAAATTCGTTTTAGCGGAATAACTCTAAAACTAAAGGGATTTAAAAAAATCTGTACTAACAGTTGTCGATCATACATAAACATAATTAATTATCTAATTTTTGTCCTAATAACCTGTAGCAATTCGAGGATAAATGGAAAAAATGTGAAAAATTAGAGGTCAGTGATTTTTATCTATCGAGGAAACTTTATTGTTTTATGTTTCTGATTAATGTATATGCTTGATGAATATATCGTGTAGTTGTAGTCGTGTAGTCGTGTAGTTGTAGTTACTCATACAATATTTTATTTTTAACTTTAAAGTGGATATACCCCTCTAAAATCAAATCGAAGATTAGGAATTTTCCCTCTGCTCCCTCTTAAGTGTAATTTGCTTACCTATGAAATAAAGATTATTTGACGCGATAACTCTGATTTGTGATTCGATTTTGACTATTCTTTTTTGTGAAAAGAGAGTACCTCAGTATTGGTTTCATTAAATTTGAAGAATTCCACCTCTAAGGGTGGCAACTAAGTGATGAATCCGGTTTCGCGGACTTTCCGGTAACCGATTTCGATAATACTTGGCAAAAAGATGTAATTCCACAAACATTTGAGGTCCGTTTTTTTACAAAGAATACTAATAACGGAGTTTTCGGAGTGTCACAGTCCGCTGTCAATACGATCAACAATTTATACTTAAAAGCAGCAGTACCTGCAATGATGTAATCTATACTAAAGATAGGAGATTCACATCCACGACATACCTTATGTTTTTTATATTTGCCAAAGTTAAAGTTAAAATATTGTTTATAGATAAGCAATTTTGCAGTTGACATCGTCATAATGATTATACTCTATTGCTCATTCGTACCGCAGATTCCACTGATAAAAATGAACAAGAAACTCCATGGATTGCCACTTGTAAATAAAATTTTGCACACATTTATTATTTACATTCCCAGAAAGTCTATTATTTTTTTGAATAAAATTTTGTACAGATAAAGGGTAAATAGTAAAAGGTGTAAATAGGTAGTCAGAGACGTGGTTCTGGTACTTATTACTCTTTGTTTGCACACTACATCCGGTTCGTATCGGCTCCGAATCCGAGAAATGACGGTCCGAACTGTCTCAGGGATCATTTTATTTCTAGGTCTACAAGCTATATTCGTATTTTTTCGGATTCAAATTGGACTTAGTGCACAAGCGACATTTCTAAATTTGTGTAGTCTCGGATTCATACAGTGCGCAATATCATAAATAATCGTTATTGAAATTCCAATTGCGTTTATTCCAAATAATAACAGAAGAAATACAAACAGAAACAAAACATTTACAATCACTTCACACAGTATAACATCAAAGGACATAGAACATTCATTATTAATTCTATACACATTTATATAAAACACATATTGCGAGAAAAACAAATACTGTGAGAAAAACAAACAAATTGTATAAGAACTGATAAAATTTTAATGTACCTATGACTACAGTTTGTGCTGAAATGGCCCTGACTCAGCATAAATACTGTAGACCGAGAGAACTCAAACACTACACGGTTTTCTACGCGATCGCATCCCAGTAAGCCATGCCACCAAAGTGCATCACACGCAAATATATATATCAAGCAAAATTATACAATAAATTACATGATAAAATTTTTATGAAATAATTACTTTTAAACAGGGATCGTTATTTATTTTTGATTGTCTTTCCAGATGACGATGCCATAATAGAGCGTCCATGTGAGATTGGCGATATCTATTGCATCCGCAAGTACTTCGATAACCACGCTAAGTGCGTCATCCCTAAAGGACCTCTTCCTGATCCTGTTTATCGAACTCAAGGGAATTACTATATACCTAAATCAAATTTCACTGCGGTGTTAACTGAAATCAAGTATACTGGTTTCAAGAACACGAGAGTTGAAGAATTTTAGTAAGTTAATTACAACATTAAGTTTATTGGACACATCCGATGTTGTACTACAGGCCTACTGCTTTACTGAGTCGGTTCTTGAGGTAGCTGCACGGCGCGGGAGGCGTGATAGTTTACGTAACATTACGTTATGTCGCGCTGCACACATATAATTTCAACAAGATTTTTCTGACGATATTCAATAACAAGTTGATTGAAAATAAAAAGCCAAATGTCTTGTCTATTCTTTTCAATTATCAATGAAATAGTTTTTTTATATTGTCATTTCACATATCAGATGTACCAGAATTACTTAGTACTTACACAACTTGAAATTTGTAATAGGCAACGTCAATATAGTACAAAAAAATGTACTATCCTCGTAAATGTTTTGAGATCAGTATGAATTTGTGTAAGTAATTTCTGATACATTTTAAAATTAAACAAAAATTTATCAATTACATTAAGGGTGACTTGACAGTCGCGGTGTGGGTTATTTACGTTTGCAGTTTGAAGTAACTCGCAATTACGGCATTAATTTTTTTTTACTAGTCATTTGGCTTCGTTAAAATTTCAAAGATCAAGTTTTTTTACTCCTACTAATCGGCAAGATTTGAGACCCGCTTCTAAATCGTGAATTGTGACTTAGATGCACCTATTTCGTCACTGATTTTGCGATAACCATTATTATAATGGTTTTTGCTTGAGATAGAAGCGGATTCTTAGTAATTATTGCTACAAAATCGTTATTTTAAAGTGAAAAAGGTTTAGCAGACAGCCATTTGACATAAGTAATATATTGAATTCACATGTGACAAGTTAACATTGCCAAGTGAATGTCATTCGATTTTGCTAATATTTAATGCCTTGAGATTCTGGTACACTTATAACAACAAATAACTATAATTTTTAAGTTTAATGTCACGATGTTTGACTATTATGATATTCAATTATTTTTTGTGAAATTACTCCACTAGTTTGTTATAATTATTAATAAAAAGATCGAACACTCAGAAAAATTCCTTTGATCCGGTTGGATTCGAACTAACGTCTTCCAGCAAAACCGTGCCGACGCTATGCCAACTAAGCCACGGAACAAACTAGCGGACCTTTCGAATTTCTCTATGTACAGGGTCAAGAGTCTAACTCTATGCCGCTTACGATAAGAACGGTCTAAAGTACAAAGTGTCAAGCTTGATGTGCTCTTAACGTACTTTTTGCAATTTTCATATTTTTTTTTTTATAATATCATGTGACGGGGCGAACAATTCGTGCGCCTGATGGTAAGCTGCACGCCTGTCCATAACAGTTGGAGTGCCACTCAGAGCTTTAAATCGCAAAGATCTGAGGGGCACTGCCACTGCGCCCGTCACCCTGAGACATAAGTTGACAAGTCCCATGTGCCTGTTATTTCACCAGCACCTTTACCCTTCTAAACCGGAACGCAGTAATGCTAACATTACTGCTTGGCGGCAGAAATTTTTAAATACTTTTTTGCCATACCACCATCTATGAGAAAATTTATTTAAGTTTTTCTTCACTCAGGCAGGTACCTCTAAGCTCTAGAGGTACCTGTCTGAGTGAAGAAAAGCCGCTGGTAGCTTACCAGCGGCTCAGTTGAGAAAGTCTTAACCACGGTATGGCGAAGGCGTTCGCTCGAGTCCATCCGGTTTGAAATAAATTTCCTTTGTGTTCGACCTTTTTATTAATAATTATAACAAGGTAATTACAGCCTTGGCATCAGGTTTACAGCTAATGGTTACGTTTTCAATTTCAGCATAAACAGAAGGACAAATAAATTGATAATAGCTCTTAATTTTAGAGGCATAAGGCTTAATACTCCAAGTGTATATGCTAAATTCTACCGTCGAGGTAGAGAGCCTATTGTGACCTTTATGACTTTTGCTGACGTTCAAATTTGTAAGTATTCAATATTCATTATACAGTCATTATCAACTCAAACTTGAGTGTTATTCGACAAAACAATAACAGACCTTACCGTATGTCGATGATCGACGTTGCGACAACGTTGCGGTGTGATGCTGCTTTGTACAGATGGCAGCGTATCAAGGTACATTTACATGGGATCTTATTCCGTTACTCTATAGGCGATATTTGAATAAAATTGAGCTTGATGGGATGTTCACTGCTCTACATATAAATCATAAAATGCCAAACGCGTTGAAACAACGTTCAGGGAACAAGTTTGCAGGCAGGGAATTACACGCCATAGCCGTTCGCCATATAAATGCAGAAGCGAGACGCTTCATTCGAATTCTTGGAATATCCACAACATAGGGGTCGAACCCCAGCCTGCGTCTGGTCCCCCAATGATGGAAAGGGGAACGCGGAATTAATTCCTGCAATTCCCTCGCACTCTCTCCTAGATATATCCTGTAGAATACCGATAAGCAGGCAACTTTGCGGCGGTGTTCAAGGCTATGTAGCTTCGCCTCTACTAATTCTGAGTTACCTATAAGCCTCTTGACACGCTTGTCGATTGAATCTAAGGTTGCCAGTTGGTGTGTAGCAGAGCCATCCCATAGGTGGCAGCAGTACTCGACAGACGCATTTGTGCTTGGTACAGCTGAAGCAACTGTCCCTGTCGAATTATCGGCTCTAATCAATTTTGAATAAAAATACATTTCCTCTAACGATGACTTACTACAGTTAGGCAATTTCGATAGTTAAAATAGTCATTATTTGTATTTATAGATGCTTTCACCGTTACTGTAATATTCCCAAATGCTGAGGATCTGCAACTGGACGATGCGGAAATGACAGTGTTTCTTGAAGCAGCTTCATTTGTCATCTCTCCGTCGGTGTTCGTACCTCCAGGTATTTTTTTAGTCAATTTCAGGTTATAAGATTTTTAAAAAATGTACGATATGAAACGGCTGACTGTGACCAGCCATGACCATGGGACCTGTAAAGGGCCCGAAACGTTGGTTTGTTCGAAAAAATAAACAAATATACGTGACTGATATACGAAAAAATATTTTCATTTGCGATGTGTAACAATCTCGAAAACTTAGGAAGTTGATGCATTATTTACGTGAAATACATATTTGCTTTTATATTTTACAAAAATTAATGAAGAAATGAGATCATGTTATTTAACCTCATAAATGCTATACGGGCTAGTTTTGTGGTACCACTCGTTAGAGTCATAGATCAGGAACTGCCTCAGTGGCCGAACGGTTACCATGCTGGTCTGCCATGCAGAGGTCTCGGGTTCGATTTGCGGGCTGGGAGAAATATTTCTAAGGCCTATATTTATTTCTCTCGTGAGTTTGGGTGTGATTTGTAGTGTTGTATTTGTGTCCATGGCACCCGCGACACAGGGTTTTCCTAGTGCGGGGGCTATGAGTGTGTGTGTTATTCATTCTAAATTTTAATTTATAAGTACTTAAATCACATTTTAAAGTCTAACAAAATGAACTGAAAATATTTTAAATACAGATTTATGAAATAAAACTTCCTAAAATTTATTTTATTCCACAATTTCAAAAAATCCCCAATAACGTAGTAGCGAATACTACGTTGGTGGGGATTTTTTGGCTATAAGAATGAAAAAATCCCAACCAAGATATTATTTTGCGTGAGTATACGTCTGTGTAGGTGACAGATTCGGGGTTTGTCGTAAACACCTATATTGATTATTATCGCCAATGTCCGCATTACGACACAGATTAAATGTTTTTTTCTTAAATTGAAAATGGTCTTTTGAAATTCCTTTAAAATATTGAATTCTTCTTAAATGTGTACTCAAAAAATTTGCTTATTTTCGCTATTGAACACGTCAAAAAAAGTTAATTAACCTTGAATGTGGATAACATAGAATTACGTTTCTTTTTTACAGATATCCAGGAATTTCAGACTGTGGCGTCTTTTTACGACAACTTCCCGGCTGTTGCTGATGAAGTAGCTTTTCCTGAAGCCTTCTATTACGGTTCTACTTATATTCAATCTAATATTTGTGACTTTGGGCTACAGTTTTATTAATGTTTGTGAAAAAAAATTATCTTGCACCGCATTATCATAGATTTGTCTTCAATAAACAGTGTTTAAAATAAATTGAAATTCCTTTTGTCCTTGGCCCTTTTGTTTTTTTTAACCAACTTTAAAAAATACAGACGGTTTTGAAGGGCAAGGGTGCTGGTGAAATTACAAGCTCATGGGAGCTTATCATTATATTACAGACCCTTTTCTGCATTTACGCCTTTACTTTACCTGTTCTTTTCCCTTCCTGTTGAAAGGGTTGTGACCCTAACTAGCCGTGAAGATATTCACGGCAATGAAATAGGAAACTTCCGGTCCAAACATTTATTAAGAATTGTAAAAAAAGGAGTAAGACTGTAACAATAAAAGGTAAATTAAAAAAAAAAACAGGTACAACAATATAAAACACTTCCTAACTTAATGAATAAATACACTTACCCCAAAAGGGCCGAGAAACTGAATTACAGAAATAGAAATAGATACATTAAGCCTGTAGACTATAAAATGTTAAACATGATTAGCTTATTAACGATCCGACTCTTGTCGCGGTCGAGCTGGGAGTGACCGTCGTACGAAAACAAAACGAGAATGAGAAAGAGAAGGAAGATGGAACAATTCAAATTTAAATACATGTAAAATAAAAAATGATAGGATACAAGCGGAGAGAGGCGATACAAAGAGGTAAGATGACGGTGAAAGGAGGTCACACCGTCACACTGTAATGTTTCTTTATTTCTACGATAAAATTCATATAACTGAGCCTTGTATTTAATTACGCGAGTCACGCGTGACACGTTTAGCTCTCATCTATGATGTTTGAAAAAAAATTATTATGAATAATAAATGTTTATTTACAAAGAGCAATCCCTAGAGTTGCTTGCTCATTTAGCTCAGGGGAATCTGCCTTACGAATGACCGGCAGAGTTTAACCAATGTGCGATTTCATATGTAATAGACTCTCCAATGAAATAAAGATTATTTTGATTTGATTTGAGTGTACATACAATATTACTATATATGGACACGCGTGTCATTTATCATCAGGCGCACGACACTTAGTATTATAAAAAAAATTATTACTTCCACATTTGTGAACCAATTTCGATGATTTTTTTTCGAAAAGGTAGGGGAGCATGGTGGAATGGGAGCCTACTAAATTTTTGAAAATTGACAATAAAAGTCATAATTTAGGCAATTTCAATTTTCATTACTTATTAACGTACGCTTCACATATCTGGGTACTAGATAATCTCAGAAAAAATATCAAACTAAAATATTTGGTTAAAAAAGAAAAAACTAACACATGTCATTCGCTCTCATTACCTCACAGTTCGGGAAATGGGAGCCGGTAAGAATCCCGTATGTCAAATGGGAGACATTACATGTAATCAGTCTGAAAAAAAAAATTAAGTAATAATATATATAAGTTAAAAAGTAATGAAAATAAACAAGAAAGGGTTTAAGGAATATCCAGTGAATATTGCAATGAGATAAGGTGAGCCAAATAGCTCTCATTACCCGCGTAACATCGAATTGAAAAAAGAATAAAACAGTAAAAACATTTCTATTTTTATTGTGATTTCAACATTGACTTACAAATAAATGGACGACGCGTCTAATACGAAAACCACGAAAAAAATGTCCCAAGTCAACCTATTCGAAATTTAAACTGTAATGTCATCGCAGTATCGCGCTGTCAGTAGAACAAATGAAGACTAAAGCGGAGTTTGGCGCTCTGTATACGATTTTAGCGCCTTACAAGTGCGGACACTTTTTAGCGCGGACCCGACGTCCATATAATTGTAAGTCAATGGATTTCAAGCATAACTTCTAAAAATTGATAGATGACATAGCTAGTGTAAATACAACGTAGTATCTATGCATTTTAATGCTTGCCTGGGATGATGAAATTTAGCAAAATTTATAAGCGCGGAGTGAAAAACACACAACCATCTCATACGACTAAACGCGGGGTTCTACGGAGGCGCCCACGGGTCTCGAACCTTGTCGAACGTTAACGAAGACATAGAACTGCCGTTTGCACAAATACGAGCATTGGGAAAGTCCAGTTTAACACCGCTCTCATTACCCGCGGGCTCCCAATACCCCACATTCCCCTACATCAGTAGCAGTACCATTCCAATAAGAAGAAAATATTCCAGCTCTAAGTACCGCACGACATATCCCTACACCAGGGAAACCCTCTATGGCAGGTGCTGTGAACACACACACACACACACACACATAGACAACCACAAATTACACCCAAACTCACGAGAGAAATAAATGTAGGTCATACAAATATTTTTCTCGGCCCGGGAATCGAACCTGGGACCTCTGCGTGGCAGTCCGGCATGGTAACCGCTCGGCCACAGAGGCAGTATGTGTGGTGCGGGAAAATTAGCTGATGAATCAGATTTATTGAATATCACTCCATTTCCTTTAACCGATTTCAATAAAACTTGGTAAATAGATGTTATTCCACAAACTTTTGAGGTTAAACTATTATTTCCTAAGTTTAAAACTTACATTAAAAGTATTTTAATTGAAAAATCGTATTACAAAATTGAAGAGTATGTTTTAGATAAACAAATATGGAAAAAGAATAAGAGTCCAGATTCTGCACAATTATGATTCAAAGTGTATTCCATAGCATTCAAGTTTATTTGAAGTTTCTTGCTCGTTCTTCTCTAGTAGTTTAAAAAGTAGCTTAAGAAATGACGTTTTCAAATTTTTTTAATTCAAATTCCCAGTATCTTTATCTCATTAGGAAACCGATTACACTTGTTATGGTGAATTTGATTAACAAATTCACCTGAGAGGTATGAGCAAGAAACCAAGGTTTCGTTTTTGAAAATAATAAATTTTGAAATATCATATTATGAAATAAATAAGTGTCCATAGAATTAATATTAAAATTAATAGACTGTCTTGGAAACCCAAGGGCCGGCAGCTACCTTGCCCAACGCATTAACACAGCAATACAAAGGGGGAACGCTGCCAGCACCTTGGGCACCTTGCCGCGGGGATCCAATTTTATTCACATAATTTAAAAATCCTAGTTTTACTTTATAGTACTTAAGATTCTATTGTCTTTTTTACCTTACCCGTATATTATCTTAATTAAATACAATAGTGACCATAATATTATATACCCACATATATAAATGTGAGCCTTTCCTTCAATATTTGCATGTTCAATGTTTGGCCGGGTACAACGAAGCTAGAATTTATTTTGTACATGTCGTTCCATACAACCTGTATTTTCACAAATAAATAGCCCGTGATTTATTATTTTTATAATATCAAGTGACGGGACGAACAAGTCGTGCGCCCGATGGCCAGCCACACGCCTGTCCATAACAGTTGCAGTGCCACTCAGAGCCATAAGTGGCAAAGATCTGTGGCACACTGCCACCGCGCCCGTCACCCCGAGACATAACTTGACAAGTCCCGTTTGCCTGCAATTTCACCAGCACCCTTATACCCTTCAAAACCGGAACGGAGTAATGATCACATTACATTACTTCTTGACGACATATAATCAGTTTCAAAGCTATGGTGCCAGATTTTTTAATTGTTGTTTACAGGACATTGCGTCTCTAGTACTTATGCTCACCACCTTATAGCAAAAAATATACCAACATCTATAGAAAATGAATTCGTGTTCAGACAATACAAATTTAATGCCATCTCTCGAGATGCAACTGAACCCGGGACTGGATGCGACTCTAATTATTTTTGACAAGCAATCAGTCCCGAGATCACACGATACTCGCATTTGGGCTCATTCGGGTTCCGTTGCAACTTTAAACCGACCCCGGGTACTACAACCCCAAAGGTCGGAGGTGCACTGCCACTACGCCCAACACCATGAGACATAAGTTGACAAGTTCCATGTGCATGTAATTTCACAAGCACCCTTATACCACAGAAACGGCAGAAAGAGGTAAGGAATTATTATTAAGAATTATGAATAACACTGTACTAATGAATTTGTTTGCGGTTCATTGCATTTAAAAACTAGGTAAACATAAATGTTAACCTGGTACATAATTTTTAACCGATCAAATCATGATCTAATTGCTAGGAATTTATGTACAAATTTAATAGTTAATACTTGACGTAAGAACACATAAATTTGTGTAATTAAACAGACGATGCAATATAGGTACCTAATATTGATAGGGTTATGTTGTGTGTGTATCATAATTACATATACTTATTTACTTATTGACCTGGTAAAGGTAAAATTAAAGATATTATGTTTACTTTAAATGTATATTTAAATAAGGTGTTAAAATATTTTTACAAATTTAGATTTCGTATAAAATTTGCAAAGTTTCGAAGAATTTATAAAGATTTTATTAATATAAGTCATTTTTTTTTTTTACAATATCTAGTGATGGGACAAACAAAGGTGCCCCTAATGGTGAGGTACCTTACCTTACTTACTTATTTCTGCCGCCAAGCAGTAATGTTAGCATTACTGCGTTCCGGTTTAGAAGGGTTAGGTGTGCTGGTGAAATTATAGGCAAATGGGACTTGTCAACTAATGTCTCAGGGTGACGGGCGCAGAGGCAGTGCCACTCAGATCTTTGCGATTTAAAGCTCTGAGTGGCACTGCAACTATTATGGACAGGCGTGTAGCTTCCCATCAGGCGCATGACGCGTTCGTCCCGTCACTTGGTATTTGTTCGCGTCTTGTTCTTGCTACGCAAACTATCTTGATTATAATGTTGATAAATAAAGAATCCTTGTTGATCTTAAAAATGGTATTTATTTCGTTTACTTGATTACAAAATAAAATAAATATAATAAAATAAAATTTGCCTTGATTGCAAATGTGTGGAAATTATAACTAAACATAAAACCTAAAAATGCTGACGCGGTAACATAGTTAATGTACGGTATTAACCGTACAATATTCTAAAAAAAGAATTACTCAGTTTGTGGTTAGTTCCTGAGTTAACAATGCCGTATATAAAAATACATATTGAAAT